AAGAAATTGCAACAGAGGTGCTCTGAAATGGATCATCTGGGCCATCCATTCCCACTGGAGATTTTTCAGGAGATCATCCTTGAATGAACCTTTTTTTTTCTTAACCAAGAATGAATCCACAGCCTCTTGTTTTCTGTGGAGAGAAAAGCAAAACCTCTTCTCCAAAGAGACAATTTGACTTAAGTTTTGAAGCCAAGGCATTTTAAAAATATATAGGTTGCATTAATCCAGCATCTATCTATCTATCTATCTATCTATCTATCTATCTATCTATCTATCTATCTATCTATCTATCTATTTTGGATTTTCGAGACAGGGTTTCTCTGTAGCTTTTTTTGGTTCCTGTCCTGGAACTAGCTCTTGTAGACAAGGCTGGCCTCGAACTCACAGAAATCCACCTGCCTCTGCCTCGCGAGTGCTGGGATTAAAGGTGTGCACCATCACCGCCCGGCTTCCAGCAACATTTATAATCAGATATTTTTTTTAGCAGCTGTTGCGACTTCCTCAACAGTCAAACAATTCAAAGACAACACAATAACACATAGTATTCATATTCTCTGTGTATTTCCTTTATGGCTTTTTAAATTATATTTCTTTTATTTTTAATTTTTGTTTTTTGAGACAGGGTTTCTCTGTGTATCTTTGGCTGTCCTGGATCTCACTCTGGAGACCAGAACTCATAGAGATCTGCCTGCCTCTGCATCTGCAGTGCTGGAATTAAAGGTGTGTGCCACTATGCCCGATTATTCTATTTTTTTTAAAAGGACTTTCTCTATGCTTTTTCTTTTTTTCTTCCAAGCCTAGGTATATTTTAAAACACATTTTAAACCATTTAGAGGTTCCCCCCATCCGAATTTATCTTTATTGTATATATATTTTTTCTGAGTATGACTCTTTAATTTGCTAAGCAGAATGGCTAGGATTAGAGCTGCAGCTTTGGTGACTAACTCTGCCTTATTTCTTAGTTTCCTGAGAGTCTAACTTCATGGTGGAGGTACAAGTGGGAGCCGCATTTATTGTCACAACACTGTGGAAATTGTACCTTCATGTCATTACCAAGAAGCATGCTGCTAGCAGCTCATAAACACCATTTAAGTGTTTGGTGGCAGGGACTACTAAAAGAGCCACTAACACTGAGTCAGGAAACCTCTCTTAAAGGAGCCATGCCTTTGTTTGCCTCTAGCAAACAGAGCCCACCTGAGAAAATGCTGCTACCAAGAAGTATGCTTAACTGTTCTTTTGTGTCTAGAATCCCTCCCCAAGCTTTCTCAGGTGTTATGTGGATGTAGTTGCTGAACATTGGGTGCCATTTGTAGACTGAAGTTTCTGTCCCACCTGGTCCCACAGCTGTTCAGTCCCAAAGAAACACACATCTGTAGTTATACAGGTTGTAGCATGCATATCAAAGACTTAAAAGCTAATATCTACATATAAGAGAAAGCATCCAACATTTGTCTTTTGTAGTGTGGACTACTTCATTCTAGATGATTCTATTCTCACTCCATTCACTTCCATGTGGATTTCATAATCTAATTTTTTGAGAGCCAAATTGCATTCTGTTGTGCAAATTTTCCTTTTTAAATTATCCATTCATCAGCTGATGGACAAGTAAGCTGCTTCCAGTTCCTGTTCATTATGAACAGAAAATCAATGAACACGGATGAGCAAGTATCTATATATTTAAATGGAGTATTTTTTGAGTACATGCCTAAGAGTAGAATGAGCATGGATGAGCAAGTGTCTATATATTAGAATGAAGCGTCTTTTGAATACATGCCACAAAACCAAAATGACATGGATAATGAAATACATACACATATTATAATGAAGCCTCTTTTGAGTATATGCCCAAGAGCAGCATAGCTGGATCTTGAGGCAGATCTTTTTCCAGCCTCCTGAGGGATGTCTGCACTGATTTCTATAGTAGCTGTGTAAGTTTGAGTGTTCCCTTACCCCACATCCTCACCAGCATGAGCCATCATCATGGACATTCTGCCTTGTATAAGATGAATTCTCAAAGAAGTTGTGACTTGCATTTCCCTGATGACCAACGCTATTTGTGTTTCTCAGTCATTTGTGTTTCATCTTGTGAGAGCTCTCTATTTAGTGCTGTATCCACTTTTTAAAATTTATTTGGTTACTTGTTTTCTTGATATTCAGGGTTTGTTGTTGTTCTTTATATATTTTAAATACTCTGCCCCTATCTAATGTATGGGTAAAGATCTTTTCCCATAGTTTAGCCTGTACTTTGCCAGAATGATGGTGTCTTTTGCATTCTGGTATTTGTGATGAAGTGGATGAATATAGATGGTGTTGTATTAAATGAAATAAGTCAGTCAGAGTAGAGCAAATACTTGTTGAGTCCACTGACATGAACATCTAAAAACAATCATATTTATGGACATTAAATAGAATAGTAGAGAGGGACAAGTGGGGAGTTACCATACAATGATTGCAATATTTCAGTTTTGCATGAGGCGGCTCTAGAGAATGAGCAGCCAAATGCTGAGTCAGTAACATACCATCCAACGTGGACTTAAGTCCCAAGCAGACAGACTGCATGTGAAATGTGTAGAAACAGCAACAACACCAAAAATTAAGTACCCAAAATAATACTGTGATAATGGTTTCAAGGGTGTGTGCATGTGTGTTCAAACTCATCAAATTGTATATTAAATATGGGCAGTTTGTACATCTTTTTATATTAATATGCCCATTTTACAAAGGAAGTTTTTTGGTATTTTACTATATTTGTTGTTTCTGCCACTCCTTCATTTTTAAGGTTCCAATCTTCTTGGATAGCCTTTCCCTTCAGCTAGGAGCTTCCTTTATGATTTCTTTAAAAATTGTGGTATTCATTTTGTTTATTTATAGTTGGGATAGAAAGCACAGGGTTTTACTGTGTAACAATGGTATTTTCAAGCACACACATCACTGTATTTTGTTCTTACTCCCACTCCTGCTCCACTGCCTGCTCCCATCTGCCTGCCTCTCTCTTGCCAGCCCTCTTCCTCACCCCTGAGAGTTGTTGTACTAAGAACAAGCCAAATTCAGAAAGACAAACACTCTAGATTTTTTCTCATATGGGGAATAGATATGTGTGTGTGCACATGCGCGCGCGCGTGTGTGTGTGTGTGTGTGTGCACATATGTAGAAAAAGGCTGCTTTTCATTCCGGCTGCCCAGAACTGAAATAATCAAACAGAAACTATATTAATTAAAATACTGCTTGGCCCATTAGCTCTAACTTCTTATTGGTTAACTGTTACATCTTAGTTTAACCCATTTCTATTAATCTGTATATCACCACGCAGCAGTGGCTTACCCGGAAAAATTCCCATCATCTGTCTCTGGTGGTTCATGGCGTCTTTCTTCGCCTCCTCTTCCCAGCATTCCATTTAGTTTTCTCTGCCTAGCTCTGCTATAGGCCCAAAGCAGTTCCTTTTTTAACCAAAGAAAGCAACACATAGGTGGAAGGACCCCCCCCACACACACACAATTTCTTCTTTTCTGTTTAAACGAAAAGGAAGGCTTTAACATAGTAAAATTACATATAACAGGTATCTAGCAAGAATTATAGTTACAATATTTAAATCTACTTTATCCTTTATCATAACTAAGGAAAACTATAACTATAAATTCTTCAACTTCATCAAAGACTCCAGGAGGATATTATATTACCTAAGTAGACAGGAAGTGCATTGTAACCAACTTCCAAAACCCTAGAATTGACAGAGACATCTCACTGCCTGTCTAGTCACCCAAAGTTCTTTTGTACCATTGGGGCATTCATCTTCAGTCTACAGGCCCATAGTTTCAGCAGACTTTTCCACGAAGCAGGAAATTTATATTGGCAGTATGCCAGTCACTTTCTCCTGTGTCCTGCAGAGTGTCTTGAAGACTCTTTCATGAATCAGGAACCCCAAAGGATTGTCTCACCTTTAGGCAAGTTCAGCAGTCATTTCTCTGTGAGTCATTAATGTCTAGTTAAGCAGTTCAGGCAAGAGCAATTTCTTGCCCAAATGGCTAGCAAACTCCTAAGGAGCCTCTTCAATGCCCATCTTCATCTTGAAGTAACTGGCATTGCCAGGAGCAGATGTGTCTCCCTGTCAATTGCGCATGTGTAGGTGTGTGGGTGTGACATAGAAGCAGACAGGACCGTAGCAGGGAGGAAGAAATGACAAGAAAGGAGGGAGCAAGAGAAAGAGACATAGCGGGGTGTTTGTGAAACTGTTTCTTTTAGAAGTCTGAGGATGAATTCCCACCATTTGAAAATGGCCATATTTTACTCTAGTTTCTACAGGATATTCTCATTTGCCTTTAGAAATGAGGATTGAAATTTTTCAAGAAGCCTTTAAAATATAATGGGGCATGGTTTTGTGTACTGCAGGGACTACACCAGGCTACTATGAGGACTTTGATTTTACTCTGTGAAAAGCAAGACACTATTGCAAGGAATCTCATTGGTTGTTGCGTTCAGAATAGACTGTAGTAGAACATGCAGCAAGAGCGTTTAGAAATCCATCCCAGGTTGGTCAAGGAGGTAGTGGTGGCTAGAGAGTACATCAGTGTTTAAGGTCAAACTGATTTCTCAGTGAGTTATATGTGAGGGGTGAAATCTCTGATAACTCATGCTATAGCCAGAAATGCTGTTGTCACTACAGTTGAAACACAAATGTTGGTGATCTGAGGAGCATTTGGTAGGGGACTGGGGGGAGGGGGGGTCAGGACATCAGGCCTGTCACACTTTACCATGGTCCTGAGTGCAGTGTCTCTAGGATGCATTGTCTCCATGTAGAAGGACATCTGCCTGAGGCACGACTCCATAGTAAAATAAGGAATACACCAAATTTCTGTTTCTTTTTAGGAGTCAAACATTCTCCTCATCCCTGCTCCTCCGTCTTCATTACTAGTGACCTTGGTATGAATCATTCATGGTGTGCTTTCAAGTCACAGAGTCTCCAGAGGTTTGTGCTTAGCTCCCCCCGCAGCCTCAGGCACTGTGTCACTCAAAGCACAGAAGTACTTGGCTGAGTCGCTCCAGTGGGCTGGGTTTTTCCTCAGGTTGAAGGAGGAGTTACTTTTCACAAACTCTGCCTCAAAGCCATTGATGCCTTTAATGAGAGTGTCTCTTGCAACGGATTTGAGGAGAAGCTGGAGGCTCTGGCCAGGATACTGGACGTACCAAAAGAGGTAAGGTGTTGCACCGTAAGAATAGCTGCACTTGAGCTCTAGTGAGGCTCCTTCAGAGACAGTGAGGTGAGCATCAGGCTGGACCACTGACTGGGCTCTGTTTCCTCCTGTAACACCAAAGCAGAGTCAGTAAGACCAGGACAGACCTACCTGTAAGGGCAACATGCCCCTTGTGTAGATCCTGGCTAGGAACATGGTCCTACTGTGGAAACAAGGCAGGGAATGAAATAATACTTACTCAAAGAGAGGAACATGCCCAGCAGCAGAATGGTCAGTGGGAACATGGCTAGGCAGAAGGCAGGAAGATGTATTCTGCAAAATCTCCTTGAGCAGGAATGAGTAGAACATGGATTGAAGAGCTCTTGTGGACAAGGCTTGGAGACTATTAACCGAGAGATGCTCCCTTGGCAAAGACTGCTGTAGCACCCTTTCTACTCACAACAGCACCTCAGAGAGCTGTGAGATAAAAAGACTCTCTAGCATGACAAGATTTTTTTCAGTATAGACCTTGAGTCTACGTCACATTGCTGCCCTCTGGAGAACAAAAGTGGAAATAAATTGTCTTAAAATTTTTGTTGGTTTTTCTTCTTTTTATTTTTCCCTTTCTTCCTTTCTTTTTCTTTCTTTTTTCTTTCATTTTTTTGGTCTTTTTAGACAGGGTTTCTCTGTAGCTTTGGAGCCTGTCCTGGAGCTAGCTCTTGTAGACCAGTCTGGCTTCAAACTCACAGAGATCCACCTGCCTTTGCCTCCTGAGTGCTGGCATTAAAGGCGTGCACCACCACTGCCCAGCAGGTTTATTTTCTTAAGCAATAAAATCTGGTGAGAGCGCTTTTAAAGAAGATAACTGAAGTTTATGAATTAAGTATCAAGTAGTAGTATTTAATCTTATGAGCTAGAGAATGCTATTCCCATTTTATGAATGGAAAAGCCAAAGAACAGAAGAAAGGGTATGTCACAACAAGTGACAGGCCTGGAGTTTCTCTCATTACTGTGACCCAGAAGCCCCATCAGCAAGGACTGACGTCTGCGCACATCTATTACTACCTCTCTCGCAGCGTCGGTTGTCCTGATACAACGGATGGGAAAGCGAGCATTTATGGGCTAAATAGTCTTTGTATGCACACATGGGGGTTTGGGCTCTCTACTGAAAACTCAGTTCTTCTCCCAATTCTTTTCCTAAAATGGCATCACTGTTATTTCTTTCTATTGCATGTCTTAAGAGTGAGGAAAGAAGAAATGCCAACAGTGAAGCTAGTCTTGGTAAAAAGCATGGGAGAATCCCTCTGCACGGGAGGAGAAGCCTACCGACATGACAGACAAAGGGAACAGGATTAATTGCCTTCTTTGTAAAGTTCTAAGTAAATTAATTTTACTTATATGTTTTAAACAGCAGTTGAATGAGGAGGCCCTGGCAAGTGTTTCTAAACAAAGATCTTTGGGAGGAAGGCAAAACCACTGATACCAGAGTCAAGGAGAAGCAGGACAAAGACACCGGTACCAGAGTCAGGGATGAGAAGGACAGAACCACCAGTACTAGAGTACCAGAGGAGGAAGACAGAACCACACTAGTATGACAGTCAAGACAAAACTGTCAGTCAAAGCCTTGTTTCAGCAGACAGTATCTCCTAATAAGGAAATAAAGTCAGAGGATGAGAGTATATTACTGTATTTAATTAAAAGATACAGTGATATTTATTAAGGAAACAATGAAGAAAGAACAAAATAATTGGTGAAGGACCATAACATATCAGACAGATAGGACTCTGCTTAGAGTTGAGGAAACTCCAAACTAGAGCCTAAAGATAGTGATGTTTTTTTCCTCAGGAGTGAATAATTATTTTGTAGGTGCTTTGGGGAATGAAATAATTTCTTTCCCTAAATATACAAGCAAGTCTTTGAGCTTACCAATATTATTTATAAAGCTGTTTAGAACTCATTTCCATTTCCTAACGCTTATAATTTTGCTAGTTTATCTTTTATAGTGGAGTGGTTTATACTACTAAACACACAAAGATATGAAATGGAGAATGGAGGAAAATCCAAGTGGGACAAAGTCTCAAGACAAAGGAAAACACACTTTGAGAAGAACAGAGTGCAGAGAGCCAGTACTGTGGAGGAGAGAAGAGTGATCTAGGAACCTTACCACTGAGCACACATTCTGAGGGGATAAAATATACCAAATCTGCATGGACAGGGATATTGTGATGTTCTTCACAATTGCCAAGAAATGGAAACAACAAAGGTGCATATTGACGCATTAATGGGTAAATAAATTGTGGTAGATACACAAAACGGAACAATATTGACCCATAGAAAGAGTGAATGAATCCTGTCATTTGTACCAACATGAACTAAATTTGGGGGCCACAGTATGTGAAATAAACCAGACACAAAAAGACAAAAACTGCTTATTTTTCATCATCTGTGGGTGCAAAAATCTTATTTCAGAATAGCTGAATAGAACCATATTTATTAGAGACTGGGGAGGTGGGAAGTGGTGAGATAACAGTTGTCAGAAAACAATAAATAGGAAGGACTGGTTTTGACGCTCTGCAGGAGCTGGCTACAGCTTGCAGGACTCATGAAACATCTCAAGATTAGAAGACAAGACACTGCAGACTGCAGTCCAAAGATATGATAAAATGCTGAGGAGTTACAAGTGTTTATTTTCACTATTTGATCATTACAATCATTATGCATTTCACGTGTGTGTGTGTATTTATATTTAACCATTACCATACACAGCATGGATATGTGTAGATTTGATTCTGGAAGGATTTGGAAAGAAATATTATACTTTTAGTACATGAATTGTGTGAATAATATATCAAGAAAAAGTATCACTTTTTAAAAAATGATGCCTTTAAATACTATAATTCTGAAATACTTTCATAAATTTTATGCTGGGTAAGAAATTTGTCAAATGGTTTTGCCACTTTTAGAAATTTATTTTAGCTATGTGTTCTCATAAGTAATTTTCTGTACACAGTACATATTTAAAATATTTTTATTAGTTCTTTGAGAATTTCATTGTATTTTGATCATATTCATATCACTCTCCTATTTTCCCCATATCTACCAACCTTTTATACCCACCCAACAGTGTCTTTACTTTTTAAAAAAAAAAAAACACCCACTGGTTGCAATTTATTCTGTCTATATCCTCGGGTGTGTGACTCTCTCTACTAGAATGTGTCAACCTACCAGAGACCGAACTCTCGAAGAAAGCTAACTCTTCCCTTCCTAGCTGCTATCAATCACCAGCAGTTATTCAACTAGGGATGAAACTTGGCATCCTCCTCCCCCTCCATGCTGGAATGACCGAGATTGAGCTTGCCTAGATCCTGTACTTGCTGTCACAGCTGCCTATGAGATCATATGTGCAGCTTCCCTCTCTATCCAGAAAGCATCACATCATTGAGGTCTTCCACTGCCTCTGATTCTTACCATTTTTACACCCCTCTTCTGAGATGATTTCCGATCCTTAGGAGGAGGGTATGTGATGTCCCATCTAGGGCTGACTATTTCACAATCTCTTTTCTCTGCACTTAAGCAGTTGTAAGTCTCTCTGTTAACCACCCACAGCAAAAGAAATTTCTTTGGTGAGGTCTATGGGTCTACGTTCAATAAGTCATTAAGAATTGTTTAATACTTTGTCCCATTAACAGTAGTAGGTTCTGGCTTAGGGCCTATGACCTGTTTAGCCATAGGTTCTTGGCTCCAAGAACAGTGCCAGGTATAGGTTCCATCTTAAATCCAAGCAGAAAGTGGTTGGTTACTCAAATAACATTGATGTCACTATTGAACAAGTGGGCATATTTTGCTAGGCATATCATTATTGTAACTTTCAGGGCTCACAGCCTGGTAAGGGTAGTGACTGTTTTTCTCTTCAGTGTCCTGCAGAGCACCTTTCAGCTATCTAGTAGGAATGAACTTTCGGATTAGCACCAGCTGGATTTCTTCATGTTTTGGGCTCAAGGGTGTTGTGTTTTTCCCTCCCTCCCTCTGTCTCTCTGTCTCTCTCTCTTTCTCCCCCCCCCCTCTTCTGGTTTTCTGAGATAGGGATTTTTCAGTGTAGCTTTGGAGCATGTCCTGGCATTTGCTGTCTTACTCTGTAAATAATGTAGGCATCCAATGCACAGAAATCCACCTGCTTCCCTAGTGCTGGGATTAAAGGCATGTGCCGCCACCACCTGGCTTTGTGTCCTTTTCATTTTTTTAACCTGTTTTTATTGATTTTATTGAGCTGTACATTTTTCTTTACTCCTCTGCCTGCCTCTCCCCTCCCCTTCAGCCCTCTCCCATGGTCCTGATGCTCCCACTTTACTCAGAAGATCTTGTCTTTTACTTCTTCCCATGTAGATTAGATTCATGTATGTCTCTTTTAGGGTCCTCATTGTTGTCTAGGTTTCAGAAGAGGAAACCTAGACAATAACAATACCAGAGCTGTTTTTTATGAACTCTAATGATCATTAATGATGCACTTTTCAGACTGGTTCAAAATAGAATCATTTGGGAAAAAAACTAATGCTATTATCAAAATATGAATATGCCCCACTTTTTATCTCCCACTAAGAAGTTTTATATTTAAAAGTTTGGCAGGTAGTCCTAAATATTCCCAGAATGTATGGAGGGGAATACCAATACTCCAGCCAGGCGCTTAATCTGGGATTAAGATTTGTATGTTGGTTTTCTTGGCTTTATGTTTAAAAAATACTTATGAGAGAGTACGTATGATATTTGTTTTTCTAGGTCTGGGTTATCGCACTCAATATGAAGTTTTCTAGCTCCATCCATTTGCACTCAAATTTTAGGATGTCATTTTTTCTGCTATGTAATATTCCATTGTGCAAATATACCACATTTTCCTTATCCATTCTTCAGCTGAGGGGCATTTAGGTTGTTTCCAGCTTCTGGCTATGACCAACAGTGCTGCTATGAATATAATTGAGCACATGTCTTTGTGGTACAATTGAGCATCTTTTGGATATATACCCCAAAGTGGTATTGCTGTGTCTTGAGGAAGGTTGTTTCCTAATTTTCTGAGAAATCACCATACAGATATCGAAAAAAGTAGTACCTGCTTGCACTCCCACCAGCAATGCAGGAGTGTTTCCTTTACCCCACAACCTCTCCAGCATAAGTTGTCATCAGTGTTTTTGATTTTGGCCATACTTACAGGTGAAAGATGGAATCTCAGAGTTGTTCTGATTTGCATTTCTCTGATGACTAAGGATGTTGAGCATTTCCTTAAGTATCTTTCAGCCATTTTAGATTCCTCTGTTGAGAGTTCTCTGTTTAGGTCTGTACTCCATTTTTTATTGGATTATTTGTTCTTTTGATGACCAATTTCTTGAGGTCTTTGTATATTTTGGAGATCAGACCTCTGTCTGATATGGGGTTGGTGAAGATCTTTTCCC